CTCTCTCTCTCTCTCTCTCTCTCTCTCTCTCGTTCTCTTTCCACCGAGTGGGCCACCAGTGCCACCTTGGTTCCTTAATAAAGATCTCTCATAGGAGCTCTGTCAGTGCGCAGACTGATCCTCGGCAGGTGCCAGTTTCTTTCATTGGTGCCGTGACTCGGATCTGGTGCTACCCGACTCCCAGCTTTAATGCCAAGAGTTCACGGACCCCAAGCCTTGGTGCCCAATCCTCCCATCTGACAACTCATGTCCATTCACCCAGATGCCTCTCCATGCAACACCACTGGCTTCATCGATAGGTGAGTAACCAGCCTTTACTCGAGGGTATTGTTGGTCTGGATTTTGACCCTCGTGGCAGAGACTCCTGAGGCACTGGCCTGTCCCCCTCTAGGAGACCTGGTGTCTTCCCAGCCAACTGTGGCCTCTGACTAGAAATTCCTGAGCTCAGGTCCCAAGTCTCCCTGGCCAACTGTGGTCTGGCATTCCATTCCTGAGTGGTGACGACCCTTCTAAGTGGCGCCTTTACTCTTGTGACTCCCTGTCCCTCACTCCAGGATGCTTCAGTGAGCAGCGACAGAAGTCTCCTTTCTCCGCCATGGGATGAGCACAATCCATTCTGACAGACATTCCCTTGGGCTGTCTATTCAAAACTCTCACAGCTCTCAGACTCAGATTCGATCTAAAATCTAAACACCTTATTTGGCTTTCTACTCAAATTTGGCCCCAACATTTATTAGATAACCAGAGTAAATGGCCACCTAATGGCTCTTTTGATCTCTCAGTTATTCAGGATCTTTACAACTTCTGTGGGTACATGGGCAAATGGAATGAGACACCATATGTTCAGGGCTTTTCCTATCTAAGATCTATCTAAACCTTCCCTCTGTTCTTGTCAGCCTCATCAGGTTTTGCTTGCTACTAAACCCCTAAGTTCCTCCTACACCTCTGAAGAGTTTGATCCAGCACGTAAGTCTCCTTCTTACCACTTTCAAAGACCTCTGCCATCTTGCCCTTCCTCTTCCCCTCCTCCACATACTCCCTCCTCTCCACTGCCATCTTGCACACCTCCATTTTGCGACCCTAATCTTCCACATGCTCCCTCCTCTCTGACAGCATCTTGTAAACCTCCATCTTGTGACTCTGACCCTCCTCTGCCGCCATCTTGTGATCCCTTTTCACCTCTGCCATCTTGCATCTCTCTGCCCCACACTTGCTCCCGCTATCCTACTCTACCACCAATAATCCCTGCAACACAAATGCCTCTTTGTGAAGTGCTGGGAGCTGAAGGCATGGTCAGGGTTAATGTTCCCTTTTCTTTGTCCAACCTTTCACAGATGGAAAAAAGACTGAGTTTTCTCACAGCCAACTTAGTCTCACTTGTTCACAAGTTCATAAGTAATATACTTATTACCCAGTCCTAAAGTTTAACCTGGCATGATATTTTTATGGTCCTTTCCAACACCCTCAGTCTTCTCCTCACCCTCCAACCCTATATCCACCTCAAGGAAAAAACTTCATTATCATTCCCTCCTCTAGCCAACTGACAAAAATGTACCTTTCGTCCTCAACTTAAAATAATATTTGATGGTGTTTGGTTTCTAGATGTTTAACTGATGTGTTTCACAACATTATGTTACTGTTATAAAGTGCTTTTACTCCTTCTCATCCTAATTGCAAGAGATCTCTGTTAACTGACCAACTAAAGTTTTGCTGAAAACAAAAAAAATAAAAAGACAGCAAGATTTTAACAAATGAAGTTTGTCATAGGTTAATAGTAAATGAGACAGAGGAAATATTAGGAAAGCTATGGGTAAAAGGGATATACTTTTGATATGAAAGGATTTTGTATGTTTGTCTTGTTAGAAAGAGATAAAGAAAGATATAAAAGACCAGAAGGCCTAAGTATGTAGAGAAGGTGTATGGAAATGATTTAATAAGAAATTATGTATGTTTGCTTGTGGGTTTCAAGTTTGTTATAAAAGGTTTACATTTAAAGTCATAAAGAGCTTTCATTCCTTTTCATCCTAATTCTACAAGATATCTCTGTTAATTTTGACCTGCAAAAGTTTTGACTAGTCATAACTAAAAGATTTTAAAATGCAATTGGCCAAAACCATCTGAGTGCACTCTAGCTTAAACTGTCTTATATATTTGTGTCTAAATGTTTAAAAGTGTTTGTCCAATTATGTTTTTGATCAAAATAACATCAAATACAAGTAGATTGTTGATTTCCACAACCTGGTTTTATAGGTTAAATAAAAAAAATTAAGATAATTAAATATAAACTTTTAGGTTTAGGTACACTCCTGTTGGTAAGTAAAGAAGCAGCTGCTCAGAAAAATGTATTGTGATCTTTATTCACTAATGGGAACTCAAACAATTTTCATAGCTTTATGGGAAGATATGCCTTGTTAAATATGTCATTATAAAATGTTTACATTGGTTATCATCAAAGGGTTGAATTCTAAATATGTTATTGTAACATGCTTATGATGGATATCTTCAAAATATAATATTTTCTGTATTAAAAAAAAACCCAAGGAGTTATTTTTTTTTTAAAAAAAGAGGATCCTTTTGATATGAAGCTACATTACAGAACATAAGATTTCATATAATTATAATAATTATTATTGCTACTTTTCTGGAGTACAAAATGTATTAATGTTCTTTGACTATGCAGGTCTTCTAACATATTGTTTATGACAATAACCTTTTGATCCAGGTATTCACCCTTCTCTTCTGCTCTACCTACTTATGGTTACAGGTATATTTGTAGGCCCATACACTTTCCTTAGATGGCACCCTATCAAAACGTAATAAGTAAGTTTCCTGGATTTTTGTTTTTGTTTTCATATATTTTTAAAAGATAAATACATTTAACAATAGCTATTTTATACTATGATACACATCTAAGTTTGTTACCAAGATGTCATCATGATTGTCATGCTAAAATATCATTATGTGTGGCTCCTGATTACAAGTTTTCTGTTAATATTCTACAGAAAATCAAATACTTAAACAAGCATAATTGATAAAATAATAGCCCTCTAACTATATTTTAAATTCCAGGGTACTTACTATCTAGATAAAATTATGATAGTTAAGCTCCTACTGCACTACTGATGTCACTGATCTTCTCTTCTGGGTGTTCCATCGCCAAAGTGCAGAGACCAACATTAAAAGGTAACTGGGCTAAGAAGATTGCCAATATTTTGGCTCTCGCCATCCAAGGTCATCAAAGATCCAAGGTATGAAGGAACTTTTTCTACAACATCCTACATCCTTGGTACATCACCAAACCTCCTGAACAGGGAGATTTCTGGACACCAGAGGACAAATGTAACGTGTGCTAAAGGAGGGTCACCAAAAAAATCTTCCATGCTTTCACTAAAAGCACCATGGTCAAGCAAGGCCATGACCCATTCTAACAGATGAAACTGGGAACTGAAAAGCTCTATGCATGGTTCCAAAATAATGCCTAAAGAGACTTAACTGACCTTGACAGATAGCAAGAGGTTCAAATTGACTAACACAGTTCTCACTTTAATTTGGTCTTAAACACCCAGAAGAAAAGAATAACCAAAAGAGGTAATCAATAAGCAGGAGCTAATGACAGACTTTTGAGGCCAATTACTCCATCTCCCTATAAAGGGATAGATCTCCAAGTGGTAAACCAGATAACTCAGTCTAAAAAAAAACACACACACAACGCCCCCCCCAAAAAACACCTATTTACTACCACCCTCTACTATCTCCCTGTCAATATCTCAGACTGTTAGATGTTTATATCTGTTTACCCCCACTCTTTCACTCCAATTCCCATCCCTCTAGATTTTAATCTGTCTGTCTCAAACACTGGCAATTTATCCACAGTTCTGGGACCCTTCACTATGGGTCTCCCATTTCCTATACAAACCACTAACCTGACGTACACAGGGCAAAAGGACAACATCACTTGCCCTCAACATGCTAAAAGCAGCCCAATAAAAAACATGCCAGGCTGTAGGTAAAGAGTGCTATTTTGTTAACCAATCTGGTATAGTCAAGGTAAAAGTTTAAAATTAGAACAATACATCAAAACCTTTCAAAACAATGGTTACATGAGAAATGACCCAAGACTTCTCCTGGTTCCAACAGATTATGCCATGGCTACTTCCCTTATTGGGCCTGCTAATCTGCATGTGTCTTCTGGCCATAATAGGCCCCTGTCTGTTTTGCTGTTCTAATTATTGTAAAATAGATGTGTGAGTTCTAGCTTTGGTATTCAAGTTTGCTTATTTCTAAAAAAATAATCTACCTTTCAATGGGATTTGTCTTCCTTCTATATCTACAAGCCAAATAGGAGTTAATTTACTTCTAAAACAGTACAAGTTTTTTTGGTTTCACTTACTAAGTAAATGAGTCTCTGTATCCCAAGGTTACACATTTTTCTACAT